TTTTAGATTTTCTCCTAGCTAACGATCTACAAATACTCAATAAAGGCTGTAATCCAACCTTCGCTACCAAAGCTAGGCAGGAAGTTCTGGATATTACCTTTGCTACTGAACAAATCGCTAAACACATAAGTAAATGGCATGTCAGTAATGAAAACTCTTTGTCCGATCACAAACATATTGTCTTTAGCATACAAGGCTCAATAACTACTGAGCCTAAAAGGCTTAGAAATCCCAAAGCCACCTCGTGGGTAGACTTCAAAAACCTGCTCGCTGAGGCAGCTAAGGATTTTCCAAAATCAATCAAGACACCCGACTCCCTTAACATTTTAAACAACTTATTAACGGATGGCATCTTAAATGCCTATGAAAATAGCTGTCCTGTCAGGGAACTCAAGGTTAACAACAATACTCCGTGGTGGAACAAAAAGCTAGAACGACTTAGAGTTTCCACACGTCGCTTATTTAATCAGGCCACTACACCGTATGGGTGGGAACGGTATAAGAAGGCTCTGACTAAATACCACAAAGAGATCAGAAAAGCTAAAAGAGCATCTTGGAAACGATTTTGTGAGAATATCGCCCAAACACATAAAGGAGCGAGAATCCACAAGGTCCTTGCCAAGACACCAAACATCTTTCTCGGCTTTTTAAAAAAGCGAGACGATTCCTTCACGACCACAGAGATGGAGACGCTGGAACTTTTAAGAGCAACCCATTTCCCAGGATCGTACCCTGTCACCGGCAGTGAATCAAACCCAAAGGAAAACTATATCCACAGGGCAAATAGTTGCGACTGGAAGATGGCCAATACCATTTTTAGGCCTAACCAGATTAGATGGGCTTTGAAAAAATTCAAACCATTTAAATCAGCAGGAGAAGACGGAATTTTTCCAGCTCTGCTTCAACAGGGCATGGAACTCCTTATCCCGCATCTGGTAAAATTATTTAGAGCAAGCTTTGCTTGGGGCATTATACCAGAACAATGGACTAAGGTCAAGGTTATCTTTATACCGAAGATCGGTAAAAAAGACTACTCTCAGCCCAAATCCTTTAGACCTATTAGTCTTACTTCTTTCCTACTAAAAACAATGGAAAAAGTAATCGATCAGCACATTAGAACAAGGTATCTTGTGGCTAGACCACTTTCCTGCAACCAACATGCTTACCAAAAGGGTAAATCCACAGAATCTGCCTTAGTAGCTCTGGTCGACAAGGCAGAAAGGTCCCTAGAGGATAAGCAGACAGCTCTATGTGCATTTTTGGACATTGAGGGGGCTTTTGATAACACACCTACGGCAACCATCCTGAAAGGATTAAATGCAAAAGGTGTTGATATCACAACCACCAGATGGGTGGAATATATGCTCTCCAACCGGTGTGCGAAAGTTACGTTAAACGAACACTCGCACAACTTCCACACTACAAGAGGCTGTCCGCAAGGAGGAGTGCTTTCACCCCTATTATGGACACTAGCTGTAGACCTACTACTTGTAATCATGGCAGATCTCGACTACGATACACAGGGCTATGCAGATGACCTTGTTGTAGTAGTAAGAGGTCCCTGCCTGAACACAATCTCCACCAGGTTACAAGGAGCTCTCAATACCATCACAAGATGGTGCAGAGAAAATGAATTATCAATAAACGCTGATAAAACAGTTATTGTACCATTTACCAGGAAAAGGAAGCTTGAAAGGCTGACTGAACTCAGACTCAATGGCAAAACCCTTAACCTATCAAATGAGGTAAAGTACCTTGGAGTCACTATTGATCAAAAGTTGACCTGGAACTCTCACCTCAACAACATTATACAAAAAGCCAAAATGGCCCTCTGGATATGTTGTCGAATGGCTGGAGCCAAGTGGGGCCTCAAACCCAAAATGGCTCTCTGGATGTACACCGCCGTGGTAAGGCCGATCATAACATATGCCTCAGTCGTATGGTGTAACAAAACCAAACAAAAGACAACTATGAGTAAACTAGACAGCATACAACGGATGGCATGTCTAATCATCACGGGAGCCTTCCATTCGGCACCAGGCGACGCTCTAAATGCTTTGTTGGACATAGCTCCGCTATATCTCCACGTGCAAAAAGAAGCTAAATCTTGCCTCTACAGGCTCTGTACACAATCGAATGTAAAGTTGCAATCGCAATATATGAATAAACTCAAAGAGTTGACATTCGAACACAAAACTCTGAAAATGCCAGTCGATGGTATGAGTACAGAGTTTAACTTCGCAAAACAGTACCAAATAGATCTTCCCAACCGGGACATGTGGCTAAAAAACCAAGAGTCTCACAAAAAGGGCAGTCATGTTTGGTTCACAGATGGATCCAAGAAAGGATCTGATGTAGGGTGCGGTATCTATGGCCTTAAGCCTAGATTTGACATGAGTGTCAATCTGGGCAAGGAGGCCACCATCTTCCAAGCCGAGGTCTTCGCCATCAACAAATGTGCTGAAGTCATCCTGGAGAGGAAGCTTAGAAACCAAAATATCTACATCAACTCAGATAGCCAAGCAGCACTTCTGGCTATAGATTCTCTTGAGACCAACTCTAAGTTGGTCAAAGACTGTATGGAAAATCTGAATGTCCTGGGCACATCCAACAGAGTTACCCTCAGATGGGTCCCGGGTCACTCAGGCATAGATGGGAATGAAAAGGCTGATGCACTGGCAAGAAGGGGTGCTGAAACCCCAGTATGTGGCCCAGAACCATTTTGTGGTATTGCAAAACAACATGCCTATTCAATTCTCAAAATTCACTGCAATCGCCAAGCACTTCAAGAGTGGCAATCCACTTCTGGACAAAAAACTCTAAAGCGCTAATTAAGGGATATCGCAGAAAGTTTACAAAAGAGTTGCTTCAACTCAACAAGTATAAAACCAGTGCAGTAACCAGAATACTTACTGGTCACTGCAAACTCAATAAACACATGTTTACCCTCGGCCTCAGTCAGACCGCAATGTGCAGACTATGCCATGAGACAGAGGAAACTGCTATGCACATCCTCTGCTCGTGCGGTCCACTCATGCACCGCAGAAGTATCTACCTAGGGCAGCATATTATGCAACCGGAAGAGATACAGATGCTCCCCGCTCAGAAAATCTGGAAGTTCCTGGAGTCAACAGGACTAAGCGGAGAACTTTGAACTCACTATAAAGGGAGCTACAATGGACCAAAACTGGTCGACGTAGCTAGGGCCGACCTCGGCACCACACCCAACACAATAATAATAATAATAGACTGTGAAATCTTAACAAAAACGCGCACATAATTAGATGCGATCGGTGTAATAAGATTTATAGACTTCATACAACCCAATATGATTTATATTTTGACAGTATATAAGACAAGGTACGACATGAGATCGATGAGAGCCAATAAATCTTATTCATTATTAATCAAGTTTCAAATCAATCAAATTACTGATGATATTATATTTTCGATGACCATCTATAATTACCTAACCTAATATAATCTATGCAGCATATATGAGGACACTATATTATCTATATACTATAATAAAATTGTAACTAAGTCAATTCTGTTGGAAAATCTTATTGAAATAGATATTATTATCGATGCAAAGACCGAATCCATAGTTTTTAGAATTTTTGTCCGTCTGTCTGTCTGACCGCATCACGGAAAACCCCTGGAGGGATTTTGGTGAAATTTGCGTATGATGATAGCTGGTTATTCGGGTCAACATATAGGATACATTTTACTGCAGAAAAATATCTCATCTCTAAGAAATATATTGTAAATTTTAAAACGTAAGACATATTTTCATTATAGCTTGGTGCCGATGATATAAGACAAACCTTTATTTTTCACTAATGAATGTTCCTATGATTTACAATTTATATGATGTAATATTTTTGCTATAATCTAAATTATAAGCGTGAGGTGCTAAATTATTATTACTGTGATAAATCAAAGAAACTTAACCTACAACAAATATCTATTTTTAATAAATTAAAAAAAAAAGTATACATGCGATTTGTAATACGTAACGTTTTAGTGATAGGACATTATTGCTACGATGGATAGTCGATGTTTATTATATGGGAAGTACTTTTTGTGCCTTATACGTAACTTAAAAAATTTCAGAATAATCCACCATGTAAAAATAAGATATATTTTTAGAGGTACGCTAGATGTATTTTTAACAAGTGTTAAATGCTACACTTTGTGAGTGCCGTTGCATTTTTTCAACATGTTGTGTGACGTCACAATTACCAAATTACAGCAAACCGTTGGACCGGTCCATTATGAAAGGCTCGCCTGACGAAGCCAGGTGTTCTTGATTATATTATAGATACACAATAAAATCTAATCTATACATATAATTTAGCAGTAACGGGACTTTAGTCGGTTACTCGTATATTGTTTTTGTGTCTTTACCCTTTATTGAAAGTAGATTTGGTTTGATTTAGATTTTCATCTAGTGGCTTAAAATATTTTTAAATGGATAATCTCTCATATTTTAAATATCACTAACGACTTATTTCCCAAGATATTATTGGTTTAGGAACGCTAAGAGGACAAACATACAAAGAAAATTTCTTTTTAATTTTTACAGATAGACTGCAAAAAGTATTGTATTTACCTGCATAAACTACGTTGAACTGAGAATTCAAAATTCAAATAATAAAAAAATAATCAAACGTCTGTTGTTCTCTTCTGTTAATAAACATAATCGAGTAATTAAAATAACTTTCATAATTGAATACGGATGATATTCAATCAATGCACAAAATGAATTAACGAATATTGGCAGCATTTGTAATTTACGTGTATATTAAAAAAAATGCAAGTAATAAAGAATTCATAACTTATAAATACGAAAATTTCCAATTATAAATTATGACATTAGTTTAAAAAGTAATTGGATACTTTATATTTTTTAAATGGTTTTTGCGTAAAAAGTTTAATTCATGAATAATTATAATAATTTAATACACTCAAAATTAATAGTTGGTATTTGAACTTACTTTATTATTAAACGAGTGGGTGGAGCAGAAGGAACAAAGAAGGACTAAAGCTGAAAGCCAGTGGGCCGACACGTGCCGTGTTGCTTCCATGGTGAAACTGAAACAAAAAAAAACAAATAAATTAATAATATCTTCTCTATTTATATTTTTTATTATTTTATTATTATTATTAAAAAATTAATAAAACCTTTTTTTATTATTATACATAGTTCTTTTTTCAATCATCCATTTTTCAGTATTACAATATATGTGTATAAGTAAATAAATATGTTAGGCTAGTTCCTTGGGTTATATATATCAGATAATCGATACACTACCTACATGTATAAAACTTTAAATACACAGGTACATATTATAAATATAAACACCCATGACTGGAGTACAAACATTCGTGCTCATCGCATAAATGAATGCCCCCAGCGGGACTTGAACCCGCGACCGCTGGCACAGCAAGTAGGGTAATTACAAACTGAGTCAAACATGTCGTGGATGTATAATATAAAATAAGTTTTTAATTTTCCTCCCATTAGTTGGGATGTCTTTAAAAATAATTGACACGTCAGTAAAAATGCACATAATGATATGATAAAAATACTCATTTTTCTACTTTTATTCAAACGTCTATATGTTTCATAACAAAAAGATACAACAAATTGTTTCGGACACGCGATTCTTGGGTTCAATGATGGTCGAATATTTGAAAAATAAATTTAATATTTGTTTACCGTACTCATTGATTAATACGAATTATGAATTTGATCAGGGTTGCCATTTAGGACATTTTTATTAAATAGTTTTTAATTAATTATTTTATACATAATTTATACAGTTGTATTGTGTTATATTTATGTTTTGATAGTAAATTAAAAAAGTAATTATTATTTATACTATTCTGTTTTCCTTCGACAATTAAAAATATTTAATAATTTTCTACTAAAATTACTAATTATTTTATTTATTATATTTTTTTTTATTATTTATAAGGAAACTCGTACTGTTTTTTTTAGAAAAAATAAAACACAAAACTTTTTATTCCTGTTAACCCTAACCTCGTTGCAGAAATTAAAAAATCAAAAAGCATAGATTAATAACGATGAGCACAGTCAAAACGGGAGGTCATTGACCGATGCACAAAAGGACACTGTCTTTTCCCAGAAGTCGGGGCTAAATATTAATAAAGCTTTAGTTAATACTTGTTGTACAGTTAGCTACAAAAACCACACAAACCTACGTTAAAAAGTTTTTCCTCGTATTGTCTTCGCAGTGTATTTGCTTATTGTGTTTCAGTAGAATTTAATGGTGAAGGTAAACTTTAAGAACTTGGCTGTTCGTTAAGGAAATTATGGCTTCAAAACCCTTTCTTCCTAGTAAGCATGTTAAGAAACTTGAATTACTATTCCATATGTGTAAAATTCTTTATTATTAGTTAGTACTAGTGAGTCACCATCGCCTCGCTTTGGGTTCATTCCTAGATAAAAACAAATCGATTCCACGGGAACCATATCTTTTTCCGGGATAAAAAGTAACCTTTGTGCTATTCCAGACTATAATCTATTTCTGTGCCAAATTTCATGCAGATTCGTTCAGCCGTTCTGGCGTAAAAAAGTAACAAACATCCATCCATCCTCACAAACTTTCACATTTATAATATTAGTAAAATATTATTTTTCACTTTTCTTAAAGTAAATTGAAACTTAAATTATATAGACAAGAACTTTTCAACTGTATAATTAAATGTATATTATATTATCAGTGAAATTAATACATGAGGTATCATTGGGTAAGCAGACAGAGTAATTAAAATTGACCATGGTATTTTTATAATTATAATTATAGTCCATTTGGCACACAGTTACGGCTACTTGTACGAAAACACCTAATTTGATTGAAATGCCTTTAAATAGATATTTCCTAACAATATTTGTGACATTTAAAGCATTTAAGAATTTCGTGTATGTAATCTTTTGTCGTAATATGTGCATTAGCCTAAGCCATAAGCCTTCATTAACTTTTTGTTAAATTTGTTGTACATAATAGGTTGAAAGTTAATGAAGTGCCCTATGTAATTTTAAAGTTCACAAACTAAGTTTAGAAATTACGTTGGAAAAACAATTTGTAAAAATAAATGTTAATAAACATGTATATTTTGATTTCTAAAACTAAGAAATACAAATAATGTTACTAGAATCAAATACTCTGCGTTCTATGATAATTACGTTTCCAGTTAGTCATATATAATGCAATTTATGCATTTTACTTATGTATAGTTCATACATAAAATAAAAACTTAAAAAAAAACGACTTCCAGGCACTAAAATGTAAAAAATAACTAAATGGGGGTTTTCATTTAGAATAGATACCTAATCAGATATTTTCGAAATCGGTGCCAGCCGATGCAAAGCAAATCTAATGTATTTCGATACCTAAAATACATATTTACCTATTAGATATTCATATCTTAAAATATTGTAGGCTTAAAAGTTTTAAAAATTTTTCAACGCCTTCGAGTAATCGGTGACATACATAAAAAAGGTTTCCGACGAATTGAGAACCTCCTCCTTTTTGGAAGCCGGTTAATAAATAAGTTAAAATTATATGAGATGTTTAAGATAAAGGCGATATGCCCTTGGAATAAAGGAAGTGAAAATAAAGGTCATTTTATAGAAACGGTCAACCAACCTGTTGTACGATAATGTAGATTTTTATAAAGGTATTTGTGTAATTTTGAATAATTCGGTGAAGCCGTACGGTTTTTGCTTTTTCTGCAAAAATTGCCTTAAAAAGAGGGCTTGGGCGTGATTTCTTCCTGAAATATAGAGGAAATAGAAGATTCTATTTTTTTTTGAATGAATCAAACTGAGTCTGCCTAATAAAATTGAATCATGTCAGGAAGGAAAAGCAAATTATCCTTAAAATATTTTTATGTAGGTAATACTAGAATGGCACTCAAAATATAACATGTTTTCCGACAAACTGTACTAAGAACTTATCAAACTTATGATTTTTTTAATGAAGTACTTACATTTATTGCTATCATTCGTCATATTTACCGTAAAAGCGACGTTTTGTGTCAACAAATTTCATATGCATGTATACATCCTTTGATATAAAAGTGAACAAATTGTTCTTTAACACGAATATGTGCGAGTAAACTTTGCAATAAGCTTTTAAATTTATTCAAGAAATGACTATCATCCCACTTTGGCATTGCTCAGCTAACGTAACTTACACACTGTTGGACACGAGTCTCTCGGTGCGAGAGGGTTTAGGCCTTAGTCCTTCAACCTGGCCAAATGTAAAGTAAAACTAAGGTTTATAAACGTCTATCAAAAACTATTTAGGTTATCTCAGATATCTACAGGTCTCCTGAAGATGTTTTTCTTTACCGCGATACGAAATGGTAATCATGTCGAAAATGATTTGATGAAAATCACTGAGGTGCGAGAACTTAGTTGAACAAACTTGACTTGATATTTCAAATTATCACTACCACCACTTGATATACCTATACCAAATGATATGAACCGAAGATATGTGCAGATATGGTGGGAAATTATGTCGCATTCTATCCATAAACTATATTTAAGTATGCAAATAATTAATAAATCAATTCGTTGCTCCAATGTAGCATGAAACAAGACAAAGCAATTTAAGCAATAAGCTTCTTTATCTTTAGCGATTTCAATAATGGCGGCCAGTCTTACTGGCTAGCCAACTGCGCAAGAGCGCACAAATGTGTGTGCAAACACAAGTACACTCACTTTTTTTTACTATTAAAGTCCGGTGAGACGATAATAACAGCTGTCGAATTGTATGACAACACATTTGGCTCAGTTTGTAGTGACCCTACTTTCTGTGCCTGCAGTCGCGGGTTCGAATCCCGCTGGGGGTATTCATTTGTGTGATGAGCACGAATGTTTGTACTCCAGTCATGGATGTTTATATTTATAATATTATGTATGTATTTAAATTTATATATGTGTAGTGTATCAACTATCTAGTATCCATAACACAAGCCTCGTAGCTTACCATGGAACTAGATGGCGCTGTGTGTTAATGTCCCAACATATTTATTATTATTATTCGACACGGCCGGTGAGAGATTAAGAACAAGACCGATAAAGTCTTTATGTTAAAGGTACAGGGATATAACACCGCCAACTGCCTAACTCCGTGCTGCTATTGAGAATTGATAGAAAAAAATTATACAATTTTTACCCCCTGCTCTAAGAAGAACGTGCGAAAAAAAATCATTACTTTATCCATAAAATAGCTTTTAACCTTGGAAGACGAAAGTTTGGCGTATATTACGGGTCTAGTTAAAAAAAGCAGTGCAACATGTGATAATTTTCATATTAGTGGAAAGTGGAAAAGAAGACAGACGTCTTGTCTCTAACTACCGCCAAGCAATAATGATTACATTTTTGTGTTCCGGTTTGAAAGATAAGGTAGCCACCGCAATTACAGGCAAGAGGCATATCATTTTAGTCCTCACAGTGACAACGCACGTGCAGTTCTGCATTTTTGTAACAAAACCTAAGTGCATGAACCGTAGGTGTTATGGGCGACAGGTACCGCTTTCCATCAGGTGGGCTGTCTGCTCGTTTGTTACTGAACTCCATAAAAAAACCTGGCCAAAAAAGTGCTTTAAATATATATTATTAAAGAAAAACAAGTAAACAACGTAGAAGTTTTCCTAGCAGCTAGAATATTTTATAGGTATAAAACAAGCATGACCCCTATTTAAATGATTCGTTCACATCCGCGACTGCCGCATCTTTGAACGCGCATCGCATAAATAACTTCAATTGTAATGAATTGCAAATAAAAAGTTATGTAACAAATGGTCCTGATCCTGGTAATTGGACAGAACTAATTTATTACTTGATTCATTACGATTTATAAGGTCTTAACTCACTGTTGTTATATAATTAATTGATAATTAAATTAACATTACTAATATGGTTACGTTCTAGTCTTATGAAATTTGCCTGTATACTAAATCTGTAAACCTGAATAACGTCAGTAGATTGTAATGGCGGGTTCGATTCTAGCTCAGATTAAATGTAAAGCCACATACGTAACTTCAATTGTACATACATATGTATATAATCAATAGAAAGTGTATGAGTTTAATCTCATCTTAAGTACTTAGAAATTTTATAATTGAGATTTTATTTTAACGACGTAAAGTTACCAATAAGTCTCATATAAATAAATAATTATTAAAAATTAGACAAATATAGATATTATTTGCCAAGATATTGTGATTTATTATCCAACAAACATGAGTACTAAATTTTTTAACAAAAATGTACAAAAAAAAGTGACAGCAGTTTGCAACATGCCTTACATGCACTGAAGAAGCTAATTTATTTACGGCTCCGTTTATTTTGTCTGTGGCCGAGTCATTTCCTCGAGTTACTGATAATATATGGCCAGAGTAACCAACATTTTATGTGAAAACCCATTTAACGGTATTCGTTCCATACAAAATATATACTAATATTATAAATATTCAACATTTTTTGTAGATACAAACTTAAGAAAAATATTTACAAGTCTCAAGGTGCTTTAAGAACGAATCTATTAAAAAATATGTGATATGATAATATGTCCAAAATCCATGTTTCCAATAATTATGAATATCATACTTAACAAATTACAAGCAATTAAACACAAACAACATACAAGCGACAGCCTTGGAACGTACCAAGTTCCATGACATCACACGGATGCAAATCCTGCCTGTAAACCCAGGAAGGGTCGGTAGGAAACGTCGATATAAATAATAGAGGTTTCATACATTAATTAACCGATTCACCTTGACGGCGAATTGAGATGTCCCACTGATTTATCTTTCATGCCTGCTATGAGACTGAGGATCAATCACCGTATACGTATGCTAATTTGATGGTACGTTTTGTTGTTAAATAAATTGAAATATATGTACCTAAATTTATATATTACATATATTTTGCAATTAATAATATGTGTTTTGTGTCTATAGATACTTTGTACAAATTATTTTGATAACAATAATAAAGATATTAAGTCAGTCGTCTGTACAAATTCGAATACTCAAGTTCTTCGGGCATATCATCCGTAACGAGAACTCCGTGGAAGGTCTGGTAGCGCAAGGGAAGGTCGAAAGCAAAAGATCTCGTGAGCGTTCTCAAACACGGTGGACAGACCTCATAAAATCTGTGACACACTCCAGCATAAATGATAACACTCAAGCCGCCAAACAAAGAGACACATGGCGTCACAGAAGCGATGGCACAATACTCGAGGGAGATATGACCACGACCATTCCATCAAGAGTGAATGACTCAGAAGAATAAAGATAGATTTCCTTGAGAAGACCCTAAGATAAGATTATGTTGTAATAACTGAACAGTTCGAGTCCCGCTGGGGGCATTCATTTGTGTGATGACGAATGTTTGTACTCCAGTCATGGGTGTTTATATTTATAATATGTATGTATTTAAATTTATATATGTGTAGTGTATCAACTATCTGGTATCCATAACACAAGCCTCGTAGCTTATCATGGAACTAGATGGCGCGGTGTGTTAATGTCCCAACATATATATATAGTTGTTACATTGGTCTTGTGAGTAACATACATAGTCCAAGAATAGTAATTGGATTTTTTAAAGAAATTTCAATAACTCCCTGTAGTTGGAAATTGTAAGTCACTAAAAATTGTTCCAGTGAGACTGACTGTCGTGGCAGAATTCGTCTGAAGAACTTGAAGACTTGAGCTGGAGAACTTTCTTTAACTCAAACAACAGAAGAAAAAAACAGAAGAACAAACAATTTTAAAATAAAAAATGTGATTTGTTAAGTGATTTCAAATTCTAGGCAACCAATCAACTACCACTCACCCGCGTGTACCTAGTCTATATTAACTACTCTACCTTTACCACACATACCACATTAGGTCATCAACACCTATACCACCTTTTTGGTATAAAACCTATTTAGTTAACTCATAAAATCCCAATCACTTATTTCGTTATCCATCTTTATTTATAGGTGATATACCTTTAGGTGAAGCCATCAAATAATGTAACAATAAAATCAAGGTATGGATTTCAAAGATTACGTCAGATATTTTGTTTATTCAGTATTTAGTCTTTCCCATGACCATGTTTGCTGTAAAATATTGAAAACGTTGCAAATAAAAATTTAAATAAAAGTATTATTTATTAAAAATATTATATATTATAATAGTAATTTATTAAAATATATAAATATATAGATTTAACATAGGGTTTTCATGGTATATCAAGTGATTCCTGAGATTGCAAATCTGCATTGCTGGGAATGGCCATTCGCAAATAGTTAAGTACATTTTGTCGAGTGAAGACTGGTCACTAATTACTCAGCAATAACCAAAAACGAATATGTCAACCCTTTATTAAAAATATCGGAAAACCTCGTGTCGCAGGCAATTTATATGCTTAAAATTAATCTTTAACGCTTAGTGACTTCTTGGATGTGACATGTTTTGAATAAAAAAATATTTCGCTTATTTTTATCAAAAGTTTGTACATGAAAAAACCTATTACTTGTGAAATTGTAAATGATTGAACCATTTCATGGTAAAGGACACCATAATAAAATAAATTGTTGCTATATTATTTACATAGTATTCATTTATTGTTGTATGTACTCGTATCAAAGTCAAGTCACTATTTAAGTTTTAACAATTTCTTCTGTTTTTATATTGCCTTTTACAAGATATTTTTATTTAGCGATAAAGAGAAAATGATTCCCTTAGTCTCCGCTTTTCGATAAGACAGACGCACAATCAATGGATATCATGCGGAAATAGAAACTCCGAAAACCGCTACACTAGAGTCATTTAAATACAGCACAATGCTATCACAATAATTTTAATACGACTTATTTAATATTTAATTAAAATGTAAATTGTAAAAAATGTAAATTACTTTTTAATTAAAAAAAACACCAACTTCAAAATTAACTCAAAAGCAATTATTTCACTAGTAGCAATGGATTTTTTCTTGAAATTTATCGGGGACCACTTGAAATATAAGCATCATGAAAATCGGTTAAATATATAATGGGTGGAGATATAAAGAATGGACCTTAATTGTGTATTCCCTCTTTTTAAAGTCAGTCAAAATCAACTTAAATTTAAATATATAATTCTCAAAAGTGTTTAAAAATTTGCAATATCCAATTAAACCGAAGACCACAAAAAGACCGACAGTATGCTAATTTTACATATGCTCATTGACCTAATTTAAATCTTTATGCATTAACATAAGATTTAATTTTAAATGTGCCAAAATGGTAGCTAACATTTTGGCTAATTAGACGCGTATAAAAGGTGGTTATGAAAAACAGTTTGGAAATGGTACGTGGCTCTCTATTATGTGATTTCTAAAAATCGATGTAAGAAATTTTGTTGCACCTTCAAAAAATAAATATTCATAAGAACAGAAATAATATAATTTTTATGTAAATAATATACACTTAAGCATATTTTACAGAAGATATACATACTACATTTAAACACGAATTCAAAATTCAAAATATTTTATTCAGCATTAAATAGTTACAATTTTTTACTGAACGTCATAAATCTACTACCAGTTCGGAAAGAAGAAGCCTCAGACCTGAGAAAAACTGGCGAAAGTGGTGGATAATATATTTGTGCGCCCAATTTCCTTATTTGCATCACTTTAGGAGCTCATACGGACTTTTAAAACTAATTCCTATCTATGACGTTGCCTAATAAGTGCATCTTTCAATATAAATAAGTAAGAATTTAACATACGTAAAAGTTAAAAACATAAGTTAAAATCATTTTCGTATCGCTGTTCTGTGACAACGACCAAATTGTCCCTGCGCTTAAACACACTTTACCGTTCACCGATTATTTATATCAGATAAAGGTAACAAGCCGTTGAACTTGCCCATTAAAAATGGTTACGAAATATATTTTAAATACATTTAGTTCTTAATAATAATTAAATTAAAGATAACTTTTTTTTTATATAATTTGTTGAAAATTCGTCAAAATAAAATTATTTCGTAAATTATGTCTAACTTTGAATATTTAACCGATTTTCAAATTAAAAGGTTTCTATGTTCGTTTGTGTGAATTTTTTAATTGGTTTTCAATTCATTCTAATTACATTTTTCGAGGCAAATATAAATAAATATTTTTAAATCTACTAGCAAGAGAAAAGAGAAGTACAGGTATCTCAACCAATTTGATAAGAAAATAGATAGTTCAATAAAATTAATAATATACCTATAGAATTGGTAACGGGACTTGCCGAGCACACTGCCGTGCCCTCGAGTGTATTATGAAATACATTTATGTAACCTTTATTTGCATGGTACAGATAACATTCTTGACCCACTTTAAAACATAAAAATATGAATAAGAAAAATGCATAAATACGCGTAAAGCACGCAAGAGCTAAATTAGGCAGATTCTTGGGTATTTTAATGGGTTTGCCACAACCTGTAAGTGATAAACAGCCATGTAATTCCATAACAATATATGGCAAGTATTACAACAAAATTAAGTGTTGTACCAAATATTTAAATAAAAAAATGACAAAAAATGTATTTTTGTGTACGCATAATATATAAAACTTGATTTCTAAATATAGCTGACAAAGTGTATGTCTTCCGCGTGAGAAAGGTAAATATTTTAGATACATTAATTTGAGGCTAAAAACTATTTTTAACAATCAGAGAGATGAAAATATAATATATTAATTAATTATATTAATAGTTTAATTAACCTACTAAATTAACAATGAATACAAAATCTCACTATAGAGTCTAAAAGTTGAATAATAAAATTAATATTAATTAATCGCCCTAGTTTGCTTTTATGTAACTTACATAATATAAAAAGAAAATATTTTTATTGTAAAATTATACAAAAAGTAAAGTTATATACTATTATTACATATATTATTAATATTATATATTCCATATCAATAACTTAATAATACGTAGTTATTGAATTACCTAAGAGTACTGACATATAAATATATTAATTTTTTTAACATTAAAATATACAAATTAAATAAAAAGTACAACGCCTTAAAAATTTACAATAACCTGCATTCTTGATACAGGAATTTTAATTTTAGGTTCAGGTGAGACTATTCCGAGCTTTGTAATAAAATCTGTTCATACTTTAAATATGCGAATTAAGAACCTCCCCCTTTTTAGAATTCGGTTAAAAATATTTTACATATACGTATTCCTATTAATTTAATACCTTTAATAAAAAGAAATTTAATACCTTCTTATTAAATTTCTTGTAAAACTACAGTATTAACTTGATGTAGGTACCGGGATAAAAAGTCAAGCCTGTGATTCGTAGATCTAAAAAAAGGAAAAATTGAAAAATTACGTATTTGTATGAATAAGGTTGAGGATGCTGTGCCTCGGCTTGATTTTACAAATAACGGGAAGGCGGTACACTAAAAGTGCAGGTGCCTCACGATAACTACTTACATTTATAATACCATGTTATACTCTTGACACAAGGGGTTACGATGTGTTAAAATAATATAAATTTAAGTAAAAATAAGTTTAAATTCTTTGAATGTGTATTAAATGTTACTTTCTTGTCCTACATTCGTTATATTTACATTTTTTTACAGATATTTGCCCTAGTTTAAAAAAAATGTGACATTTAGGGTTCTAAAAGAGATTACATAGAAGATCTTTTAAAAATATTTTTTTCTCTCACTTTCAGTTTCTTTCGTATGAAATTAAACTTTAACTTAAAAATAAAACACCAGGGTATATCAGCTTTTAAATGAAACAACAATCATTTTGTAGAAAAGTAGGTAATAAAATAAATTTACTTATTAATATCATTTAAAAAGAATTCTTGAATTATTTTTATTCTTATTGTTCGAATAAGCAGCTTAAAGAGGCAATATACTGAATGAACATTAATATCAATCGAACAACAATATTTACATTATTTCTTGTCAAAGCAACGAAAACAAACTATTTTAAAGATTTTTAAATAAATTGTTCACAGCAACACAATAATATGTATTTTTATTGACAATGATAAATAAGGTAACATAAGTTACTTCGTTCTCGGCAAGATTTCGTCTACAACAATACACACTACTTTTCGTGGAAAATTTCCTTTGGTACGCTATTAAACATATAGTACTTTCTTAGATTTTCGCAAATATTTGACGTTTTAAATAAAACTGTCTTTTCGAATTTTTTCGCCTCCCGCCTCTCCCGTGACACTAATTGCTGTAAAGCATTCTAAACGTGAAACGCGATAAAAATCCGAAAAAAAAAA